GAAAGTAATGGATGTATTTCTTATGCGGGTAATTTATTTTTTCACTCTCCAACATGAAATTGCATAAATCATTGAAATGAGAAACAAAATAATCCAAGTCAAAATAATAGCCCTAAAAGAGGAATAAGCATGAGCATGAAATGACGAACACATATTGCCTATGTAAGTTCAATGAGGCTAATAGACAGAAACTTAGTGTTCTTCTATGCTGAAAAGAAATGAACTTTTTTTCAAGAAATTAGAGAGATAGTACTAGACTACAGTATGTAGGGATAAACAAATTGTCCAAAAGAGATAGAAGGAGTAAAAATACTTTAGTAAACTGCTACTCACTGAACATTGGGCATAATTTAAGCAACACCATATCACAGTACTCCAAAACATGGTTCCATGGTCCAACTCTCAGCAGCAATTCATAAAGCTTCCCTTCAAGAGAATGAAGAATGGTGTTGAAATCCACATGCGGCAGATGTTAGAAACAAAGTTTCTAACGGGTTTCTAGATCGGATCTAGAGATTGAGAATTTAGGGTTTATAGAACAGAATTGAGGATTTAGGGATTTGAGAAGAGAATTAGGGATTTGGGAAAGAATTGGGGAAGAACAGAAGGGAATCGGCCTAGGCCTTTAGAGGGATTGAGATCGAGAATTGGGAAGATAGGGAGATTAGGGTTTAGGAGATTCTTTGATAATTCTTTCTTGACTGATCGTAACGTAGACTCAGAGTACATATTTATAACGAAAGATGTGAAACCCTAATACTAAACCTAATTCTACTAAAAGATTACTAACCATAATAAGAATTACCCTATTAGTAATAATAATAATAATAAATATAGAAACACTACAGAAATCGGTTTCTAACATCTCCTCCCCCTTCAGACCAACCTTGCCCTCAAGGTTGACCGACTTGACCCATTCTTTCCTTTCTTCTCGCGCAATCCGCGGTCGACTCCTCCATTTCTTACGCTTCCTTTTCTTCCAATTGTGCTCCAGTACTAGAATGAAGCCCACTCCAACTCCAAAAGCTTCTTCTCTACCCTCGTGGTTCATGTCACGTTCTCCATAGCCGAACAATCCTTTCTCTTTCTTTTCAAAATCCACATAATAAGAATAAGAGAATTGATCTTCCTTAATCTCGTCCTTACTAACTAGTATGAAATCTTGAAGAAAAGGCTCCACAAATTCCTCCATGGGCTTGGTGGTGAAAACAGCCCATAACCTTAGCCCACCTCCTTCATGTTGGACTAGGCTCACATATGCTTGAAAGAAAGAGTTAGAACCCAAACCAATGTTAGGTCTCATTGTGCTCTTTTTCTCAATTTCGTGTGGGCTTAACTCTCTTATAGGCCCATTTGTCAACTTAAGCACTTCTTCTAAGCCTGCCTTCTCAACAACCATGTTGGGCTCCATTTTTGCAAGTCTCGGCCCCTTCACACCTTGTTCAATTAACCATCTTAGAATAAGCCCCACAAGCTCCTCATCACTTATCAGTCCAACCCAAGCCACTGCTCTTGGCCCAATCTGGTTCGATCCGCTCAACACGAGCCTGCATCTTTTTGAGCCTAGCTTTGGCCCGTCCGGATTTGAAGCCTGATCAACAATTATCTCCCAAGTCCAAGGCCTGCTTTGCTGGTCTAGTCGGCCCACTCTTGATGGCCCATCCCTTCTCACAGCCCAAATCCTTTGGTCCATGATTGGTGGGTTAGGTTTCGTGCGAAGAGGAAATCCGCCGCCCACCTTCTCCCACGGCAGCAGCCGCTCCTTCGGCTCTTCTCTTGGTGCCGATAACTTCTTCTCCTCCACTTCCTTCTCCGGCGTCGTCACCACGGGATTTGACACCAATAGCCGCGATCCGCGCGCCACTCGAAGCTCCGGCAAGTCAATCATCTTCCACGGCGACTGGAGCTCGCCATGAATAGAGAGATATAGAGAGCCGCCTCCAACTTCCTCACTGTCCGGCGATTTCTTGACGACCTTCTCCCAATCAGTAGGCGACACGAAAGAATCAGCCGCCGATAGCTGCTTGTCTCGGTCTGTCCGCAGCTCCGGCGAGTCCTGCCTACGGCGCGTCGCCATCTCGACTTCGCGTCGTCGATCGCTAGCGGTGAGACACTCCTTTCCCGGCGAACAGGTTGATGTCGCCAGCTGGTCGTCAACCCAGCTCGAAGCACTCCCGTACGTCGCCCGTAGCGGGACTACCGGTGTTCGCCGCGCCTCCTCTCTTCTGGTCAACGAGGCGAAGGAACCCGCCCACCCTTGCTGTATTGTCCCGATTCGGGGTTCCGGCGACGGGCTCCCCTTCTTCTTCTTCGACAACGAACAGCGCCCCCGGCTAGGAGGCAGCCGGTCCGCTGTTGGCCTCGGCTTCTGCCTCTTCCCCTCCTTGGTCGACGTCGCCCTCACCAACCCTTTGACCCGATCCACCGTAACAATCATTTTTCCTGATAATTCCTTTTTTTGATCGCCCAGCATGGACTCCAATTCTTTTCCCGGCGACAACGTCTTGTCAGATTGTTGTTCTATTTGCGCGATTGGGGATGCAGGCAAAACCACCCTGCGGACCATCGCCTTCGTCTTCGGCTGCAAGTCTTCTACCGATTCTTTCTTTCTAAACTTCCAGCCATCGATTCGCGGGGTCTGTGGAATTCGAACAGATCTGGATGCAGCCTTGGGCGGTGGTGAAGACAGTTTGGTGGCATCAATGTTGTTGGTTTGGCGATGAATCGATGATGGCGTTGCAGACGTTACCGTGGTGATTGATGGTGTTGGTTTGGCTTGTCGATGCGAGTCTATGGTTCGCACGAACTGCCCTGCTAATGGCCACACGCGTCCGTTGGTCGCAGCCTCCTCTGTCAACGTCGCACACCTCCTACGCACCTCCCGATAACGTATGTCAAGGGCTTGATGCTGCAGCTCCTGCAGTCGAAACCACTCTTGATCAAAGAGCTTTGACGAACTCATTGTGATTATGGATTAAGATGTAGTCGTCCCTGGTTTAGAGTTGTGAAGAACTCACTCTCGTAACCGGGCTCTGATACCAAATGTTAGAAACAAAGTTTCTAACGGGTTTCTAGATCGGATCTAGAGATTGAGAATTTAGGGTTTATAGAACAGAATTGAGGATTTAGGGATTTGAGAAGAGAATTAGGGATTTGGGAAAGAATTGGGGAAGAACAGAAGGGAATCGGCCTAGGCCTTTAGAGGGATTGAGATCGAGAATTGGGAAGATAGGGAGATTAGGGTTTAGGAGATTCTTTGATAATTCTTTCTTGACTGATCGTAACGTAGACTCAGAGTACATATTTATAACGAAAGATGTGAAACCCTAATACTAAACCTAATTCTACTAAAAGACTACTAACCATAATAAGAATTACCCTATTAGTAATAATAATAATAATAATAATAAATATAGAAACACTACAGAAATCGGTTTCTAACAGCAGATCATCGGGTTGAAGGACAGCTGAAGCAATTCGTCTAAGGTTTTGTGAGGTAAATATGACGTCAACATCAACACTGACATCTACAATTGTTAGATTAATGAAAAGTTGACTTGGCACTACGGGAAAAAGGGCCTCTAGCAACCCCCATAAATGTGTTAAGCAATGTCATAAAAGAGTTGCCACATGCTAGCGCAACACTTTTACAAGGGTTGCATATAGTGGGAGTTGCAAAAGGTATGCGCAACTATTTTTTCAATTTTGGCAACCAAAATAAAAAGGGTTGCGTATCATTACCTCTTATGCAACACCAATTTAGGCAACATATTTCGTACTTTTTGCAACATATTTTGGGGACATAAGCAACGTTTTTTACAAGTTTTTGCAACCTTTAAATATCATTTGTGACAAGTCCATATCGTTACAATTGATTAATCCAATTGTGACAATTTTTTTTGTAACAAATGCTAAGATTTGCGTGATAATTTCATCATTAGTAGAGATTCTTTTTGTGATGATTTACTGCCGACACGAAAAACTACAACGATGACGGTTTTGATTGTCACAAATAATTATCATATGTGACCATAGTTTCGTCACAAATACACTTTCTGAAATTAATTGTACGTTCTAGGGTGGGGTTTGGTTGTCACTGTATTTACAATTTATGACAAGTTATATTGTCACGTATGCAACCCTATGTGTGACGAATTTGAGTCGTCACTCATAATGTATTTTTGTGACTATATCATTGGTCCAACATAATGAATATACATATGAGGACGTATTACCAATAGTAATTATTGGTGATGAGAATTTAGTCACAAAAACTTAGCTTTGATGACAACTATGATCATCACTTAATACAACATCGGTGGTGAATTGACTTGTGATAAGGGTTGACGTTACCAATACACAAAAAATGCGACAATAGATGGGTCACACATGACACATGAATGCGTTTTGTGACAAAAATATTCAATGCATATTGTCACAAAAACTTTTTTCATTAGAAAATTAATTGTCACTTCTAACTTTTTTCATTAGCGACGCCGGCGCCGGCCCTCCTTCCTTCTGACCGGCCACCGGACCCCCTTTTTTCTCCCCCTCTTGCCAGTGCTCCGGGAGCGATAGAGATTACAGCTTTGACCACTGACTTGTCTGACATGGCTGTTGATGCTACTGTTTTGTCTGTGCAGGAATCTCCGGTGGGTGCGACATCAACACAGGGGATGCAGGCGATGCCAATGGAAGCCACGGCAGTGCCGACGAACGGAGAGAAGCCGGTGCAGGCCTTCTCCTATGCTAAGGCCGTGATGGCTTTACCGACTCCAACGACAACTCCGAATCAACTGGCTGTTTGGACTCCGGTGGGGGAGCATGATTTGCTAACAGGGAACCGTAATGGGGAGCCATCACTGACAATCTCGCCGGAATTCAAATCGAAATTATGCGCGCCGTGGCAGCGCTGCTTGGTAATTCGTCTCCTCGGATTGAAAATTGGCTTTGTTACCCTCTGCAATCGCCTCAAAAGCCTCTGGCGACCAGTAGGAAACATGGAGATCAAGGACCTGGATCACGACTGCTTTCTAGTCAAATTGGACAACGAACAAGACTATTTCCGGGCTCTGACGGACGGGCCATGGGTAATCTTTGATCACTACCTGGTTGTCCAGCAGTGGACTCCAAAATTCAAGGCCTCTGATCCCCTCCCGAAGACCATGATCGTCTGGGTACAGCTCCCGGCTTTGAAAATTCACTTTTACCACAAAGAGGTGGTGACAACGATTGGTAACCTGATCGGGAGGACAATCAAGCTCGATTATCATACCCTCACTCAACAACGTGCGAAATTCGCGAGGCTAGCGGTGGAGGTTGATCTTTCGAAACATTTGGTTCCGCGAATTTGGCTGGATGACGCTTGGCAAAGAGTGGAATATGAAAACCTTCCAGAGGTGTGCTTCGAGTGTGGAAAAATTGGGCATTGCTTTGCCTCCTGTCCTCTTCTCAATCCTGCAGGTTTGCCGGTTTCAGCAGTGGCCGCCGGCGGGGAGGCGTCGACCGGATCGCCGTCCGGCGAAGAAGACCCCAACCCGGGTTTCGGGCCATGGATGTTGGTCTCCAGGAAATCACGGCGGCACTCACGGGAGGGACAAGGTCGAGGGATTCTGGATCGCGATGCCGGCGCACAAATCACGGGGTCGGGAGCTAAACAGGGTAAGCGCGGTACAGGAGGGAAGGACGGGAATCATGACTTACCTTCCCAATCCCTCAACAACGGTCTCTGGACTCATCGATTTCAAGCTCAAGAAAGGAATGTCTCTCCAGGGAAGAAGAACAATGATGGGGTCAAGAAAGGTAACGAGAAGAAGGAGAAGGATGTTGGGGGTAAAGGGAAAGGGCTGTTGGGCCCAGGGCCGGATATGCCCGAGCCCAAACCTAGCAGGCCGAAGCCCAGGGCTGCGGGGGACGAGGCCTCGACTTCAGCCCAGCAAAGCCGAACCCCTTCTCATTCAGCAACAACTCCGGCCCGAACTCCAAAGGAACTTAAAGGCCTGGTTATCCAAGAGCCCACGGGGCAATCTCTTCCGCCTCTTACGACCAAAACGGTGACGGGTCAAAACGGAACCGTCTTGCAGATTGTCGAAGTTCCCAAAACTTCGAAGGAAAATGTCGACCCAAATCTCGCCTCTGTCCCGTCTCTCGCAGTTCGAACCAAAAGCAGTAAATCGAAGAGCTCCCAGCACAAGAAATCCTCCACGAAGCTCAATTCCGCGAAGCCTCTCCAGATTTGGTCGCCGATTAAAGACCGGAAACCCAAGTCCAAAGCTCGGGCGGCGATGCTTACTCTGCAAGAGATCAATGCCTGGACAGAGGCAGCGAGAAATTCTGCAGGGGAGGTAGGGGGAAAGGCTTCTTCTCCTCGAACTGATTGTGACCCACTGACGGAATCCCAGGCCGCGGCGACATCGCCGCAGTCGTAACTAGAGCTCTATCCCGCAAGGAATTGCTGCGGCCCGGGTGTGCTTCGTCCTTGTTTTTTTATCTTATGTCGATGACCTCTAGTTTTAAAGTTCTTGCTTGGAACGTGGGTGGCGCGGGGAGTGGGGCTTTCAGAAGGGCTCTGAAGTTAGTGATTCAGTCGCACCGTCCGGACTTTGTGGTGCTTCTCGAGCCTCAGGTTAGCGGGGATACGGCGAATAAGATCTGTGATAAGCTCGGTTTCTCAAACTCTATCCGTGTTGAGGCAGAAGGGCGGTCAGGAGGTATCTGGGTCTTCTGGGATGCTGGCGTGTTCTCGGTCCACCTTTATTCAGCCTGCTCGCAGCATCTTTCTCTCCTAGTCAGTAGAGGCAGAGAGCCGGCTTGGCTTTTAACTGCTGTTTATGCTTCACCGAAGCAAGGAGATCAGCGGCAGTTGTGGGAGAGGCTGGTGTCTCACAGTAAAAATATTGAGCTTCCATGGCTCTTGACTGGGGACTTCAATGCTATTTGTAAACCGGAAGAGAAGTCAGGACCACCAGCTCGCAATACAATGAGTAGGTGTCAGTTGTTCACCGAGAGGATGAATCTCGCAGAGCTCGTTGATCTCGGTTTCTCGGGAGCTAAGTTCACCTGGTCCAGAGGGGAGAATGGCCAGACGTACAAGGCTAGCCGGCTTGATAGGAGCCTCTGCAACATCAGGTGGAACACTGTTTTCCCCAATTCATCAGTCCTTCATCTTCCCCGCTATCAGTCCGACCATTGCCCCATTTTGACCTGTGTGGAGACTCAGCCGCATAGGCATCAGTCCACGAAGCCGTTCAGATTTGAAGCAGCCTGGCTGACTAATGAGAGCCTTCGGTCAGTTGTGGCAGAGTCCTGGAACGCCTCTGCTCCGCTTGATAATGCCCTACAGTACCTTGCTACTAAACTTGTTGAATGGAATGGTACTGTTTTTGGGAACATCAAGCATAAGAAAAGGAGACTGTTGGCGAGGCTCAAGGGAGTGGAAACGGCTTTGGCCAATGTTTTTTCTCCGGGCTTGGCTAAACTTCATACGAAGCTTGCTACGGAATTGGATAAAATCCTGGAGCAGGAGGAGATCTTTTGGTATCAACGGTCAAGGGACCAATGGGTTAAATTTGGAGAAAGGAACACAGGCTATTTTCATCAGCAAGCTAACATCAGGAGACGGTTCAACAAAATTGAGACTCTGATGGATGAGAATGACTGCTGGGTAACGGAACCTCATGCCCTTGCTTTGCTTGTGTTCAATTTTTTCTCTAATATGTATTTGCAGGATAATTCTCATTATGACGACAGAATGCCAAAGGAGTGCTTTCCTCGCCTGAATCAAGAAGAATCGACAGCCTTATTCAGACCTTTTAGCATCCTCGATGTTCACAAGGCGATCTTTGACATGAAGCCTTTTCAGGATCCCGGCCCAGATGGCTTCCATGCTGGCTTCTATCAGCAGTTCTGGCAGGTGGTGGGAAAGTCTTTATCAGATATGGCCATCTCCTTTTTTATGACAGGTTCCCTCCCTGAAGCTGTGACCGAGTCCACTCTGGTGCTCATCCCGAAGGTAGACTCTCCCGAGAGGGTGTCTCAGCTCCGGCCAATCTCTCTTAACAATGTCTGCCTCAAGAGTATCACCAAAGCCATGACGTCCAGACTGAAGCCCCTCATGAGGAAACTGATCTCGCCCAGACAGAGTAGCTTTATTCCTGGAAGGCAAACAACGGATAACATTATTGTGGTCCAGGAAATCCTTCACTCTTTCAGGAAGAAAAGTGGTAAGAAAGGGGGAATGGTCTTCAAGATCGATCTCGAGAAGGCCTACGACATGCTTAGGTGGGATTTTCTGCGGGATACCTTGAAGGAAGTGGGGCTGTCGAGCAGCTGGATTAACTGCATCATGTATTGCGTGGAGCATAATACGATGAGGATAAGATGGAATGGAGAGCTTTCTCAACCGATCACTCCCTCCCGAGGCATCCGTCAGGGAGACCCTCTATCTCCTTACCTTTTTGTCCTTTGTATGGAGCGGTTATCTCATAAAATTGATGAGGCAGTTAGTGAGGGGAAGTGGAAGGCTGTCAAGCTTACCACTTCTGGCCCGCCTCTTACCCATCTCTTTTTTGCAGATGACCTTCTTCTTTTTGCAGAAGCAGAGCGAAGGCAAATCCGAGTGATCAAGCAGTGTCTGGCAGATTTCTGTTACAGCTCCGGGCAACGGGTCAACTACAATAAGTCCATTTTGTACGTTTCCCCAAATATCACCCGACGCAAAGCAGAGTACCTGAGCCAGTGTGCGGGGATTCCACTGAAAGCAGCTCTGGGGAGATACCTCGGGGTTCAGGCTATCCAGGAGAGGATCACCAAGGGAAGATATCAGCCTCTCCTTCTCCGTATTCAGAGGAAGATGGCTCCTTGGAAGGCGAAGCGCCTGTCTTTCGCGGCTCGTTTAACTGTGGCAAAATCCGTAACGGCCTCTATCCCGATCTATACTATGCATACTGAGCTTATCCCTAGTGGTGTGTGCAGGAGTATTGATAAAATCAGCAGGGATTTCATATGGGGGGAGGATGAGAACCACTCTAAGTTTCACCTGGTGGCCTGGGAGAGCATGACGAGACCTAAAGCACAGGGAGGGGTGGGACTTCGTCCAACTCGGCAGGCGAACATGGCTATGCTGGCAAAGTCAGGATGGAGGCTAATACAGAAAGAAGGAGGCTTGTGGCAGCAGCTGCTCATCTCCAAGTATGGGAATCAAAGAGAGGGCCTCGACATTCTGCGAAAAATTAAGGGAAGTTCCTTTACCTGGAGCAGTTTCTCCAAAACTGCCGAGCTCCTCAAAAAAGGATGCGCTTGGAATATTAAGAATGGAAAAAAGACTAAATTTTGGCTTGATCCGTGGATTTTGCAGGTTCCTCTAAAGGAAGTGGCGACAGGGGAAATTCCAGAGTCCTGGGAGGGGGCGGCTGTGGCGGACTACGTTCAGGAGGAAGGGAGCTGGCGCACTGATCTCTTCACCGGGCGGCTTCCCCAGGATGTCTGCAACAAAATTACCAGTACTGCGGTTGATACTCTCGCTCAAGAGGAGGACTCCTTATTCTGGTCAGCAGCAGCAGATGGACGGTTCTCTACGAAGTCGGCCTATGAGCTGCTGACGGCTCCTAATCTGCAGTCGAGGGATGGGGTCTGGAAGGTGATCTGGGGCTTGCCGGTGCCAGAGAGGATTAGGTGCTTTATTTGGTTGGCTATTCAGGGCAAGATAGCAACCAATGTCCTCCGAGTCCAGAGGAAGGCAGCGGATTCACCCATGTGTGTTCGGTGCACAGAGCAGCCTGAGACGGTGCTTCACATTCTGAGGGACTGTGCCCCTGCGATGTTCCTCTGGTCCAGATTGGTGCCTCAGCAGAAGCAGCATACCTTCTTCAGCGCCCCTCACGGGAGCTGGTTCCGCAGCAATCTTTCGAGCAAGGAGGCGACCAGCTCAGGCATTAGTTGGCCTGGTTTCTTCAGCATGGCTTGCTGGCTTCTTTGGAAGAACAGGACCACTATGGCTTTTAAGGGACCGAGTGCAGCTCTGACCGCTCCTTCGCTACTGCACTCAATTTTGGTTAAGAGCAAGCTTTGGAACGACTCCTGGCACGCACCTGACCCCTTCGCCAACCACAAGAAGCAAGGGATGGAGAGAGTTATGGCAGATATCGGCTGGAAGCCCCCTGCGGAGGGTTGGGTTCTGGTGAACACGGATGGGGCTTCTAATGGTAACCCGGGACCAGCCGGTGCTGGTGGGGTGATCAGAGGACCGCTGGGTAACTGGTTGGGCGGATTTGTGGCCGGGATTGGCTCGGCAACTGCCGTTTTGGCTGAGCTGTGGGCAATTTATTATGGTCTGGAACTTACGTGGAAACTTGGGCATCGGGTGGTGAAGTTAGCTTCGGACTCTCAGCTCGCGATTCAGCTGATTCAGGAGCGTCATGACCCCATCCATCCCTATGCGACCATTCTGAACCTTATCCGCAGGAAAATTGGGCAAGATTGGTTGGTGAGTTTGACTCATACATATCGCGAAGGGAATAGAGTCGCGGACTGGCTCTCGAAGCACAGTCTCGTCTATCCCTACGGGATGTATGAGTTGATTGATCCTCCGATGGGTGTTGTCCAGCTGTTGCAAGACGATATGATGGGTGTCACTTTCGAGCGCCGGGTTGTGGCGGCTCACTCCTCTCCTATCTAGTCCCCCCTGTATTCTCTCTGATTCTTGGCCTCGGCCTCCTCTTGTATTCAAAAAAAAAAAAAAAAAATCTCCTTTCTTGTTTTGCTCAGCTAACGAAGTTTCAAACTGTTGTATTGGCATTGAATGTATCTGCTTTCTTATCTGAGCTTTAACTTCATCTCCAATCAAAATGATTTTTGTCCGCCTAGCACGCTGAGAGGATTTGCTGGCCACTTAAGGTATGATCTGCATTAGACAAAGAAGTTCCAAGCTTGATTATCTCTTTTGATTTTTTTCTATAAAAAATCAGAATGTTCTACATTCAGGGTTTTACTATGACACTGATATAAATGCAAACAATTGTAAGAGAAGCAATAGAAGAAAATATGAACGGCAAAGAGACAATAGCATGGAACGATATATTGCAGAGTCGGAAACCAATTAAATTGATGGAGAAAATTACAGCGGCTAGCGTACATATTTATCAATACAAGAAAAATTGAAATACTAGTACCGATATGCATAATTCTATTGGATCGATCTAGGTTTTGGGGAGACAATAGTTTCAATCTTTCTCACCTGGAAGCTGCCTTCGCGTCCTCTGGTGTAGTAGGAGGTGATTATGTAGCCGGCGCAAGAAGGGGGATAGAGGAGATAGAGTTAGATGGAAACCCTAGGGAAATAATAAGGGATTATATTAAGGGAATTGTAGATGCGCATGTATTTAAAGAGAGAGGTGAGCGGATCTGAAAATTTCATGACCTTTTTAAAATTTTGTTGAGCTTTGAATTTTACTTTTGGCGCTTTGATATATATTCCTTTTGGTGTTGATTTTATTATATTCAAAAATAGTTTTTTTCCATATGGACTTGTTGGAATAACAAAGACAATGGATAAGAAATATTGAATGGGAAAATGGTGTTGATACCAATTTTTAGAAACCACAGCTATGTTTTCAGAAACTAATGCTGAATGGAAAACGTTTATGGTTTATGTGGTTGAGTGGTTAACCATTATAGAACTGTTAGTTAATCGTTGATAGAACCATTCATGCATTATAACATAGAAGACATATAATACACTATTTTAGAAATTAATTTACTAATAACTATAAATAATTCAAATCCATATCATTCATCACTAAAATTATAACAAATAATTCAAACTATCTCACAAAAGAAATCATCAAATTTTTTACTAAATTCAAGTTAGCAATTAAGGTGACAATCCATATTGGACCACATAAAGCCGACAAGGAGTTTGCAAAAACAAATAAAATAAAAACATACATAAAATAAAAGAGAAGGAATGAGAATTTTTGTAATTTTACTACCGCGAGTGTGTGTATCTTGTAAGTTTCAAATTGACGAGTATGTATATGGTAACAAAGGGTGTACTCCCGAAGTATATCATACTCCATGTGATACGTTGGATGTAATTCGTTGTACTTTGGCACATTAGAATCGTATATTATTATCTTTCATGCAATTAATCATTGGGTTCAGTTTTAAAGAATAGGAGTATGGAGTTTATCCATTCACTACAAGAAAATCTGCTTATGGATAAAGAGATTATTTGCTTCTAAAAGTCATTTATTTAACTCGGTATATCTTTTGAAGTAAATAAATTGTCTCTAATTTTCTTTAGGGTCAAATATCATCCACCTCTAATTGTGAAATTCGACGCAAATAAACCCATTAACTTTTTTACTACTTACATACTGGTAGAGACAAATATCTTGTTGGCGATATTAGTTATTGAAGCAATTTTAGTTGCCAAGAATTTTGAGGCACATATATTTGCCTTCACTAACATAGGACACATCATTTATTTAAAAATAAGAATATTAAAATTTTATTAATTAAGATGTAAATGCATTATTCATAAAATATATGAAAATACATTACAAGATTAATTCGAGTACATGGAGAATACATTAAAAAATAAAAATACACTCAGAACCTATCACATTTATGAGAGATTATAAAGCTCTTCCTCAAGTCTCATTGTCACTGTAATTTGCTATTTCATTGCTGACGCAACTACCACCGTCGGCCGACCACCACTCCACCATTCCATTCTCTTCCCTTCACTTTGTTGCATTATCTACAGGAGCTAGTTTGCTGCCTTGACCTATAAGAGCATAACATTAAGAATGAAATTATGATGTCTATAAAACTCTGTCAGCATGAATAACATGGTCATGGAAATAAAAGAACAACCACCAAGCCCCACTATTAATTAATTGATTACACAAGAGGTGTCAGGAGACTGATTGGTTACCTTGTTGACCAACTTCAAAAGATGCAAACAGTTCTCAAGGGAACAGAGGGAGGCAGAGGAGGGCTTGGTAACAGAGGCAGGATGAGGCTTGAGGAGGACAAGCAACAATTTTGTAAAACACTTTAATAAGTTCATAGAAAAAATATAAGTAGAACCTCATAGTCTGTTAACATTACAGTAAAAAGGATATAGAGAACGAGAATTCTCCATCTTTGAACTATGCCATCATCTTTAACATGACACAATCCTACGAAAAAATGCAGCAGAGCTGCAGAGAAGAAAAATAGCAGCAAATTTGTAGGACAAATGAAGTAAAACTGCAAAAAAAATGCAGCATAGCTGGTACTTGTTAGTCACAATAATTGTATAGATTTTTCCACAGACAAGGCATCATCTTTCTTTTTTCGGTTCTCTTTCATGATAGGGACTTGCATTTAAAGTAGCTTTAGTCTTCATCCTAAACCTGCACTAACTCTAGAATAGACAATATCGGAAAGCACAAGATTTTAGAGGCTTGTACTACTTTGAATTAGAAACAGATGAATATCATACAAAGGGAAGTTGATACACATTGGTAACTGGTTATCAATGACTAGATTGATTGCACAAGCAAAGACTTTGAATTCTCAAGCAAGTACCATGGTACACAACGATTCGGCAATCGGTTAAGTAAAATCATGGTTTAGCTAAAACAAGCAAATGCCAAAATCATAACCAACGATATCAAATTCTGGAACATAAGCCGCCAAAGCAGCCAATTAAACAATAAAATCAGTAAATATGTGCTTTGGATTAGTCAGTGCAGATGATGAAGGAAGCAGGCTTACGAGTCTTTTTGTAGTTGTCTTGTAGTGTAAATATGTGCTTTGTGTATTTTGGGTATGTAGCTTTTTCTATATTAAAACAATAAATTGATGTCGCCATTAAAAAAACCAGTACAAAGCATTAGACCTAGTTGATGAAACGTGTTCATTGAAACCTAAAGATTTAAAATCCAATACATGCTTTTACTTGAGCTGCATTTTGCTTATAAGTTGCAGGTTTCATGGCATCAACTCTTTCCCATGTTTTTCTTAACCAGTGTAAGCTGCAGTTTTCTTAACTAGCAAAATTAGATACCACTAGGCAAAGTTACAAAACGGAATAGAGAGAATCCTGAATCAATCAAAAGCCTAATAATTTCCAATTCTAGAAACTCCATACTCCAAAGAATGCATCTGCATACAAACATAGTTGCTATTATGTACTTCTCAAGATCAGTAGTTTTTATAAGACATTTATGTCTAACTTGTCTCAAGCAAGACCCCGACAGAATAGAGCTAGCTTCACCATTAGAACTTCATCATTTATATATACTAACTCTATGTATATGTGGTCATCCCTGCACCCATTTTACTTATACAAGGGTCCTCCTATCCTTGATCCAGAATCGATTCAAAACAAGTGTTACAGTTAAGTAACAGCACAGTGAAGCTAACGAGCAAATCTTCAAATCATAATAAATAATCTATCAGATTCTGCAAAATATGCCTACTATGAGAAACATTGAAAAATTTGTTGGAGAAGCCATCTCAAGATCAAAATCATGCTAAGTTGTCTTCGATTTGTGGCTTAGTGTTACGATTGGAATGTTAATGAGGGTGTGAATGGATTTACTCTACAGATTGCAGTAGCAGAGAGGCCATCACAATTATGAGTCAGCTGTAAACTTCAGTCTCCTATTGATGCATATATAGTCTCAAAGTTTCAATCGCTCTGCTATGCTGCTGCAACCCTTTAAGTTTGGAACTTGGAAAGATGACTAGGTGGAAAAGAACTCCACTGCGGCAAAAGAATAACAACAACTAACACAGGGCCCCTGGCCAGAAACAACTGTACCACAAAAGCAGAGCCCCGGCGCAGATAAACAACAGAAAACTGGGGCAATCACCAACAGAGATGGCTAATGGGATGGATTTATAATATTGGACGAGTTGAATGATTTATAGGTTGATGCAATTCATTCAGGGTAAGTAAGACAGCACCCTTGAGAAGAAGCTCAAGAACAAACTACAATCACAATAACCATCTTCAGCTTTTGAGCCAGAGAAACGTAATCTAGTTTTAGAAAGAAATAAGAACTGCTACCGAAGATCGGTGGAAGGAGAGAGGAGACCCACCGTGACAAGGCGTCGCCGTCTCCGATCGGAGAGGAATTTGAGGATGATTCTTTATGGTGGGATAGGAAACGAAATTCGAACTGTCGGTGTTGAGGAAAGCAAACTGTGACCTTCAGAGGAGGATTGATGGTCGCTAATTCAATGAAGGTCAACATATATATTGTAGCGGGGAACGCAGTGAACACACTCCCCTATCAAATAACATTAGAAATGTTCAAAATTGCATAACAAAGATTGGATGAATAAATTGATTAAAATGAAGTAGGAAATTATGATTTTGAAGCAAGAAAAGGGAAAGGAATCGACATTTAGTACATAAAAATGCAAAATTACTTAAGCATTTGGTGGGAAGTAAGGATGGTGCAGGCGACATTTTTCTAAATTTCCAAAACTGAAATTGGTTCAAGTTGGTAGGGATGGCAATGGGTCGGGTCGGGGACGGATAGTGCATATCCGTTACCCTACCCAAATTAGTTCGGGTTTTACCCATGCCCATACCCACATAAGAAACGGGTAGAAAATCCAAACCATGCCCATACCCGTTCGGGTTTCGGGTATCCACGGTTATCCATGGATAATAGTTTTTCTTTATAACTCCAATTTAATTAAAACAACATAATTTCATAAACAAAATGATATTTATATACTAAATATAGTATGTTAGAGAAAAATATTGATTATTTCTAGACAAAATACATATGCATGTGTATAATCGGGCGGGTTCGGGTTGGATAGTGAGAAAACCATGCCCACCCATTACCCGCAATATTCGGGTTCGGGTTTTACCCGTATCCACTAAAAGTCCTTCGAGTTCGGGTTTTACCCTACCCGATTAGGTCGGATTCGGGCGGATATCCACGGTTACGGATATTTTTGCCATCCCTACAAGTTGGGCATGGAATAATATTTATGGCGTGCAAAAAATTTAGTAAAGATAATTTTATTTAGGAATTAAATATTTTTTTACCTTCGTCGCGCTGGATAAAGGATAAGGTGAGAGACAGAACTTGGCCGAACACACCAGCGATGGGAAGCGAATTCTCAAATTTAGTGATCCAAACAACAACACAACCCCTAGTTGTAAATAGGAAGTGGGAATTAGAGTATGAACTGACCAAAATGCACAATATTGTTGATCCAAAGAAAATGCACTTTATCAACTGGAGGCAAATCTTTTTGCATTGTAGTGGCAGCCCCTGAAAAAAACATCCATGGGGTGGCACGCCACTATCCTACCGACCAAATCTACAGATACCTCAAACACTTACGACCTACATTTTTTTTTTGGTAGAAAACGACCTACATTTTCTGAGTTAAAAGACATTGATCCTTATTTGTTATGGATAAAGAATAAATATCAGGAGAAGATTATGATTGAGAAAGGCCATTCGAAAGTTGACAAATGCCAAAAAACGTAGAACACTGGGGAGAACACGGTGACTACAAAGATTCTCCTCCACAACAAAACAGGAGATAATATAAATCCAAATTTCAGGAAAATGCGGAAGGAATTGCATGACATGGAATTGACAAACTATTGCTTCAATATCAACACCCTGGAAAAGAATAGGAATGCAGTAAGGAATTGTTAAGGAAATAAAAACTTAACAACAGCAAACACATTACAGTCAAAACTTACATCCTTGTCAATGAAAAGCATTTCGACATGTTCAATGGAGTTTCCTAATAGTGACAACGTCGTCCTAATGCATCGAACCCGAAGTGTAGGGGACTCATCATGGAGATTAGGTTGTCTTACATAAACAACAACCATAGTGTTTAAGTTCGCTAGCCGAGAGTTTGTAATTGGCGTATTACTCCATCACCTAGGCTATAGGTTATTTGGAAACAGATCTGGTGCGGAAACAGTGGTGAAATAGAATGTGGGATCGTGTTTGGACTTGGAGGAGGCATATATAGAGCGTGGTGGATAGGTGGTGAAACATGCAGGAGGCAGTTACTTGATCCACTACTGATGGCTAAGTGGTTCAAGTGGAAGTTATTTGGTTGGGCCAAATGAAAAGAATGGAGATAATTGAGAAACTGAAAGATTATTTTAGAGCAAAGAGGTTTTAACCCATAACAGACGTTGCATGGCCTGGGCTTCTGATTGGGCTTAAGTCTTAACTTCCAAGGTTAAAGCATTGGGCTTCAAAATAGTGGTAATTGCTCCTTGTTCTTCCTTCCCATCTGCTCGCACATAGGGGTGGGAATCGGTAATACGGTAACCGGTTTACCGTTTTACCGAACCAGTAAAGGTCGGTAAACGGTAAACCGATTACCGTCGGTATCGGTATCCGGTGGCGACGGCGAAGATCCAATTTACCGGACACAGGGTCGGTATTTACCGTCGGTAAATCGGTAAATACCGAATTGGAAACGGCGGCGTTTTAGGGAATGAAACCCTAGCTGAAAGGCTGCGCGCCCCTGCCAAAACGCAAACGCCTCCTTCGCCCTCGCCGCTTCATCCCTTCGCCCTCGCCGCTTCGTGCCTTCGTGCCTTCGACCCTTCCCCTTCGCACGCAGAGTCGCCGACGGCGACGCAGAGCAGAAGACGCCGCCGCCTCTCTTCTCCAGTCCGCCTCTCCCGCCGCCTCTCCACTCCGCTTCTCCTTCGCCCGACGCAGAGCAGAAGACGCCGCGCCGCCATTCCTCCTCCAGTTGCGGGCCGCCACCACCTGCCCTAATCCCCTGCATCCAAAGTTTCCAAACCCTCACATCACTCGAACAATCACTCACCAGTCCTAATCCCCTGCCTCTGCCGTCCTCCTCCCAGTCCCAACCCTCACATCACTCACCAAATCTCCATCTCTGCCCCCTCTCGATTTCCCAGGCAGAGACGGAAACGCATCCAATAATCGCCTCTGCCGTCCTCCTCCCAGTCCCAACAGCCAACGCCCACCAACAGCAATCCGCCATTCCTCCTCCAGCCAACAACCGCCCCGAAAAACCGCCTCAAGCCTTCCTTTGCGGTAATTCGGTAAACCGGTTTGTAACCGTTTACCGGTAATTCGGTAATCGGTAAACCGGTTACAAACCGGTATCGGTAAACGGTAAACAGTTTGCCCACCGTCGGTATACCGAAACCGGTAAATTCGGTAAACGGTTTACCGTTTACCGACCGATTCCCACCCCTACTCGCACATTGACATTACTGGTAGTATAAGGATGGAGTGTATTGTTTTATATGAAGCTCTACCCATAAAGCAATAGAGAGATGGATTTTTTAACTAAATCTATGGTTACACAGTGGAAGATTTAGTGCCACAGACAGTTGTGATAAAATGAAAAAATAAAAATTGGAGAAAAAGAATCCAAACATAAAACTTAGCATTATATGAAAAAATAATTATCCCCAACAAATTAAGCTCCCAACCAGCATAATGACTCACACAAAACACCACACTAGAAATCCCCTCTAGAGCCCAAGTATTTAAACTCTAGAGGGGTGCCGCATAGGGCAAGTAAGTTTTAATTATCAACCCGAGCCGATCCATATACCCCTACTTCAATCGCTTAGGTTGTTATCTAGCAAGCAACTTTTGGGTTTAGAACTAATGGAACTACATACTAAACAAGCAAAGAAAAGTAAATAAAGGAAAATTCTAACTAAGGGAGCTTCACCCGGGAGTTGCTTCCCCCTAACTAGCTACCATGACTCGTTGGATTGAATAGAGTCATGTGGTGTAGGTGGTTGTGAACTGCGAGGGTGAGAAACTAGTGATCGATTTGTCAAGGAATCAATTCACTAGCGATCGGTTTGTCACAAGATCGATCCACTCACGACGTCTAGGGGTACAGCTAGGAGGAGCAACTAGTGATCCATTTGTCACGAAATCGATCTTCTCACTCAATCTCTAGGGGTTGCCTAGCTATCTCCCTCAAACCGGAGTTTGAGCGGCTTAATCACGACCAACCTAGATGCAAACTTGAGTAAGGGGGAGGCTCATCTCTAACCTAGATAGTAAGCACAAAGTGCCCAGGAAAATCAAGCTTGTCAAGCCTACCTAAAAAGGTGTGGTTTTCCTCTAATCTAGGTTAGGCAAGCACACAAGATTTGGAAAGCACAACTAAGCACAATCACCATGAAAACACCTCTAATACTCAAATTGATGCAAACCCATACAAAATCATTCAATCTAAATAAGTAATTACAAAGTATTAGTTAGGGATCTACAACACCCAAGAGAAAAGAGTGAGTTTCTAGATAGAGAAGAGAGGGATTACAAATTTGAGCTCAAGGTCTTATTCTTCTTCTTCTAGGCTTGAATCCTTGTCTTCAAGATCCACTCAAGCCTCCAATAATTCTCCAAGATCACTCTAGCAGTCTCTCTCTCTCTCTAGAACTCCCCTTTGGTGTTTTTGGGCAACCCCTAGAGAGGGAATTGATTTTCTCTCCAAAAACTAGCCCCCATTTCTCTCTCCCCGCTGTTGTCTTAATTTTGCCTGAAAGTGACAAGTTCACGGACGCGTTGGCCAGTTCACGGTCGTGAAAACCGAAACACGCCCGTGAACTAAGTGTCGTCCAAAACGCACCTCTTCACTCTCCTGGGTTCACGGTCAATGGCCCTAGTTCACGGTCTTAGAGACCGTGAACTCCCTTGGCATCAGTAACCTCTGAAACCTCGCTGGACTGCTCGACGTTCACGGTATGTGGTCCATGTTCACGGTCTTAGGAGACCGTGAACTGCCTTGTCCGACCGTGAACTGCGGTTGTTTCCTAAACGCCTTCACTTCACTGTTACGGGGAAATTGTCACGGACTTCGGACCACTCAAACAAATCTGGCATCCACCACTAATGACAAAGTTCTCATTCTATCCACAATTAATGAAATTCTCAACCGAATTTGCGTCAAAAATGGGCAAATGAAAAGTTCTCATTCTATCCACAATTAATGAAATTCTCAACCGGACCACTAATCAATCACAACTGACCATGCATAGAACTCAAGTCAACGGAACATACAACATGGCAACATAGGTCCTCACTGGGATAGATATGAACATGCAAGAACAAGAATGAACCGCTCACTCTCGACCAGTGGGGTCAGGACCTTTTTGGTGCAAAATATGCGCACAATCGTCACCACTCATCCCTACCATCTCACCACCACGGCGGCAATCTCTAAACGATAGAGTTCACGGGATAATTGTCGTCACTAGCTCGTCCGAAGGTCTTAGACGCGGGTTCATATGGCTGGCAATTGTCTTGGACATGGGGAAAAGGCTTTTGGCGT